GACGTACAATCTGCATTTGCGCCCTGGCTATCTTCGTGGTCGTATCTCCCCCTATGAACTGGCACATGCTCTAAGATCCACCGGGGAGGCCCTCCTCTCACTGCTACCACCATCACAAGCACGGTTGGTGACGACAAGGGAGAGGGCCTTCTCGGTGGTGGCCCTCTGACTTTGGAACTTTTTCCCCAAGGAGATTAGGCAGGCCCCCACACTGTCCTCCTTTCGCAAGGATTTGAAAACTTGGATGTTCCAACAAGTTTTCCACAATGATAAGTCCCCAAGCTAAGTTCCCAGTTAGCCAGATAGCACTCAGTCCTGCACTTCCTCCACTTCCCTGGCCCTTTGACTTGCTGTTTGTACTAGCTCATGCCTAGCCCTTTATAACTGGCCACCACTAGCCGTAACTTGGCCATTGGTTTTGCTGAATCTCTACTTGATGGAGCTACAATGAAATGAGTGTTTAATGTTTTTATCTTTAGTATGTTTTAGTAGAATTTGTTTTAATTTTAATATTTTTCATCTGTTGTTATTTTGTTTGTTAAGTTGAATTAGGTGGTGTTATATTGTTGAATGTGTGTATTTTGTTGTAATTGTTTGTACGGTTTCTTTCTGGCAATTAAATGTTTGCCTATATGTTAGAAACCGCCCTGAGTCTCTTTGGGGAGATAGTATTCAAATAAATTATTATTATTATTATTATTATTATTATTATTATTATTATTATTATTTTACTGACACAAAACACAGTATGTCACAGCAAACGAGATATATATCTGGATTTTGTATCACAAAATCACAAGTCGAACACTTCCCAAGCGTCTAGGACTGCATAATGTATTTTTTAATGATGTGCACAGATCCAAATAAGGTGGCCTTTTGCAGTTGACAGATCGTGATTTTGTCAATGTTTATTGGTTCCAAATACCAGCTGAGATCTTTTGGCATGGCGCCCAGTGTTTCCCTATGACCACTGGGACCACCTGTACTGGTTTATGCCAGAGCCTTTGTCTCCATTATTATTATTATTATTATTATTATTATTATTATTATTATTATTATTATTATTAGAAACACAACAAGATGAGTCCACAGCCGACACTCTGCTGACTGTTGAATTGGATCACACGTCGGACACTTCCCAAGTGTTTAGGACTGTKTGATTTATCGGCGAATAATGCATGCAGATCCCAGTAASGTGGYTTTCTGCAGTTGGCAGATGGTAATTTTGTCAGYGCCGATTGTGTTTAAGTGCAGGCCAAGGTCTTTAGGCATTGCACCCAGTGTGCCGATCACCTCTTGGGACCACCTTTACTGGTTTGTGCCAGAGTCTTTGCACAAAGACTTTATGTATTTATTTATTTATTAACTTTATTACTACTATTATTATTATTTGATGTCGACGGAGACTATAAAAGTTTCTGCTACCAGCTTCTTTCTCTCAATCTCAAAGATTCTTTCGCATATTACATATTTGATTTCTAAATACACACACCTTCACTCAATAAGTGTCATCCCTTGTTCAGATCTCTGTTGTGGGGAGTCAATTTTCTACCCCACAACTATTATTATTATTATTATTAGTAGTAGTAGTAGTAGTAGTAGTAGCAGTAGCAGTAGTAGTAGTATAGGGCTGATGGGCTCCAGGAGACTAAGTACCATATTTTCTAGAGAAAATATGGTACTTATTTTTTCAGAAATCCCCACATCTATGACCAAAACCCTACTAGAATCATAGAGCTGGAAGAGATCACATGGGACATTCAGTCCAACCACCTGCCAAGAAGCAGGAAAATCGCATTCAAATCATCCCCAACAGATAGCCATCTAGCCTCTGTTCAAAAGCCTCCAAAGAAGGTGCCTCCACCACACTCCGGGGCGGAGAGTTCCACTGCTGAACAGCTCTCACAGTTAGGAAGTTCTTCCTAATGTTCAGGTGGAATCTCCTCTCCTGTAGTTTGAACCCATTGTTCCATGTCTTAGTCGCCAGGTCAGCAGAACACAAGCTTGCTCTCTCGTCTTTATGACTTCCCCTCACATATTTATACTGTTTATAAAAACTAAAGCAGATTTACCGATTCAACCACATCTAATTCAGGCCAATATTAGCACAAATGGGTAAAACAAAATTGTGTGGGGAGTAGTCCAAAGAAGCACCGCTCTTGCTACCTACATGTACGCCTCTTATGCCTGCACCTCAGCTTTGGAGGAAAAGAAAACAGGGGCAGGGACTTGGAGGTCCCCGATCGACCACTGGTTCTCCGCCCATTTGCACCTTCATTTTCCACTGGATCAACCTGCTCCCCCCCCCCAAGGTTTTATTAATCTAACCCTTGGAGTTGTCATGGCAAAGTGGGGTTCCCTCCCTCCCCACCCCGTTACAGTCGGGAGCCTTGACAACTAAGCACTGCAGATGCCAGGAGGGCCATGTCTGCGTCATTTGTCTCTGACATCATCAATCACTGGTTGCCGGGGAAACACCCACAAAATTAGAACAAAGTGATGGGGGGAGCCCCAAATGGCACCTCAAAGGGGGGGGGGCATTGGAAAAAAAATTGTGTATTATCAATGACATCTGATAACATTTTTGCAGGAGTGGGGTAGATAGGGATACTGTTTGGGAGAATAGGTCTGCAACTCCATTAGGTGCACTCCCCTTCCAGGAATGAGCAGGAAAGGATGATGTCCCTTCCCTGAAATATGTAAATAAACATACATTCACTGGACATTTTGGATTTTTTCTTGCCTCATCCTCGAACTCCATTTTCTTTCACAAATGGAAGCAGAGAACAACATATCGCAGGGGGTGAAAGGGGCCTCGCATGCAACTGCCTGGGGAGCCATTTGTAATCCAGCCTCCATCAAGCTCTGCTGTCTGGGAATGATTAGATTTGTAGTCTATCATGTCTGAAAGGCACCAGATTGGGGAAAGATGGCCTGTTTGTTAAATACTAGAACCCTTTGCAAACAAGGCTGCAGGTTCAGAAGGGAACAACACGTCTCTCATCTGTCCTGATGCTCATTTTTAGACTCTTTCAAGAAAGTTATCTACAACTCCCAATAATGGGAAAAAATAAATAAACAGTTCCCACTTGGATTGCATTTCCCAATCCACAACATTGTCACCATCTCTGTCTCTCAGGCTTCTTCTCATTCTCAAAGTCTTTCTAGAACAGTGGGTGCCAACCTGTGGTCTATGGACCACCAGTGGTCTGCAAGAACAAAAATATGGTCTGTCGTCTCACCATTACTACACCATTGTTGCGAACCACACAGCAATGAGAGTGAATGATCTCGTAAAACCTTCTTATAGCGCCAAAGCAATGGGGATGTTGGAAGGGGAGAGGCTGACTACCCACGAAAGATTACTACTACATCAGCTCTGGATGATTAAATATGGTTTTCTGTGGGCAAGCAGATGGCGACTACTGGATGGCATATGTTCTGTATCAGAAACTAGAGCTTATGATGTCTATCCAATGCAATTTTCTGAATCAGCACCCAAAATAACCAAACTGAATCTAAAGTTGACCAAAAACAGACCTCATAGCCTCTGAGGATGCCTGCCAGAGATGCAGGCAAAACGTCAGGAGAGAATGCCTCTAGAACAGGGGTCCTCAAACTTTTAAACAGAGGGCCAGATCACAGTCCCTCAAACTGTTGGAGGGCCAGATTATAATTTGAAAAAAAATGAATGAATTGCTATGCACACTGCACATATCTTATTTGTAGTGCAAAAAACACTTTAAAATAATACAATAATTAAAATGAAGAACAAATATAAACTTATTACTATTTCAATGGGAAGTGTGGGCCTGCTTTTGGCTGATGAGATAGGATTGTTGTTGTGTGCTTTCAAGTCGTTTCAGACTTAGGTTGACCCTGAACGAGGAATGACCTTGGAGGGCCGTATCCGGTCCCCGGGCCTTAGTTTGAGGACCCCTGCTCTAGAACATGGCCAAATAGCCCAAAAACCCTACAACAACCCAGTGATTCTGGCCATGATAGCCTTTCACAATACATTGAACATCTCTACACAAAAATTGGAAAAACTAAGGACCAGGAAAGCACATCTACCTTGCTCTCTGGCTTTCCTTCTGCGCTGCAGAGACACAGATACTATCTCACAATTTCTTGCAGTCAAAAGGACTTTCAAAACACCACAGGCTCACCGTATCTATGATCGCCTGGAATGCAACCTCTTACGAGAGAGAATTCACACCATCCCCAAGAACTCACAAACACAGACAAGGAATTGTTGCACCTCCATATCAACATCAGCCGGAAGATGAATTCCCAGGACTGGGACAAAATAGACAACCTCACCAGACCTCACAACCTCTGAGGATGCCTGCCATAGATGCAGGCGAAACGTCAGGAGAGAATGCTTCTAGAACATGGCCATACAGCCTGAAAAATATACAACAACCCAGTGACTAAAAACTGATTCGTAACCCTTTTGGTACTAATGTTGGAGAGTGGTCCCTGGTCAAAGAGGTCCCTGGTCAAAAAAAAGGTTGAGTACCACTGCTCTAGGACTACTAAATGCCAATTAAGTGCTTAAAGTGGTGGTTCCTAACCTAATGCCAGGTACTGCACCTTTGGCTGTTGGCCTATGGATAGAAACAGTTTCACCTAATGGGTACAAATATGGCTTTAGTCCCTGGCATATTTTGGGAAACAGAGAATACTGATCACCCTACATCCGATAGCTCAGGAAGCATTCCTTGACATCACAAAGAACTTTCTACGCAATTCTGACTTGCTTTTTTAAAAAAAATTGTGAATATTTTATTATTCTTAGTGGAGAGAAAAGTTGTGACCTAACTAAAGTCTAGTAGTGACCTTCAAGGTCTTCCAAATCCAGTCTAAGACACACTTGCCCTTACAAGTACAAATGTACACATGGGAATTTTTGTTCTACTGTGAGAGGACACTGGCAAGAAAAAAAAAACAACTTTCTTTTTCCCACTTTCCCCTTTCCTCCTCTGCCCTTCACTTACATTCCTTGGACATGCCAACTTCAAAGCACTTCTGCAGGCGGCAGTACTGACAACGGTTTCGTGTCACCTTGTTGATGATGCAATTCTTGTCGCGGTGACAGGTATACACCATGTTCTTCTGGATGCTACGGCGGAAAAAACCCTACAAGGTAAAAGAGGAGAAAAGTGGCATGAGTAAAGCAAACTTTCAGCGCCTTCTTCACAGCAACATCCCTCAGGTTGCTAAAGTGCACTTGTTTTCTCAAAGTATAAAGAGTGCGTAATTTTAAAATGCAGAAACCATCCCACTTTTGAATGCCATCTCTGCCATCAACTCAATGACCACCGCCCTTAGGACAATCCACTTTCCTTAAATTCAGCACCTAGCTTTCTGGATACCCAATGACAGGAATGGGAATTGTGCAGTCTTCCAGGCATTTTGGGGACTGCAACTCTGAGAGCACCTCATATCAAATGGTAAGGAATGCTGGCAAATGAAGTCCAACATCACCTGGAAAATACACAAATTCTTCCCCTGTCCTATCGAAATAGTAATGTGCCCCTGGTGGTGCAGCAGTTTAAACTGCTGAGCTGCTGAACATGCTGACCAAAAAGTTGGCAGTTCAAATCTGGGGAGCGAGAGTGAGCTCCTGCTGTTAGCCCCAGCTTCAGCCAACCTAGCAGTTTGAAAAAATGCAAATGTGAGTAGATCAATAAGTACCACTTCGGTAGGAAGGCAATGGCGCTTAATGCAGTCATGCTGGCCACATGACCTGGGAGGTGTCTATGGACAACTGCAGCTCTTCATTTTAGAAATGAGCACCAACCCCCAGAGTCCGACACGGCTACCTGACTACATCACAAGTGCGACTTGTGGGGACGAGAGAAAGGGCCTTCTCTGTGGTGGCCCCCCAGCTCTGGAATTCACTCCCCAGAGATATTAGGCAAGCCCCCACGCTGGCAATCTTCAGGAGGAATCTGAAAACCTGGTTATTCCAATGGGCCTTCAATGATTGAATGTAAGATACTCCCTGACCAAATTTTGCACAAATGACCTCAGAAGCACTTTATTTCAAGGTTCGTGCAATTAATTCCATCTCTAATCTGAATCTCCCTCCCCAATAATTTCCATTGCCCAATCTCCCAGTGTTTTAAAATTTTAAATTTTTATCCTTAAATTTGGCCTTGCTCATGTAATTCCTGTGTGTTTAATGTCCAATTTTATACTGCTGTCTCGCTTATTATTTTGGTTTTGCATTTTATATTTTTTGGTTCTTATGCTTTGTGTTATATTGTGTTATGCTTTTGTGTAATATTGTGCTTAGTGTATTGATGGGCATGGCCTCATGTAAGCCGCCCCGAGTCCTCCTGAGGGAGATAGAGCGGGGTATAAATAAAGTATTATTATTATTATTATTATTATTATTATTATTATTATTATTATTAGACTTATTGTCAAGGAGACACCTTTACCTTTACTAATATGCCCCCACTTTTACCAGGTTGTTCTAAAGACGATTCTATATCCTGTACATAGAAGATATATTGAGATTGCAAAAATCAGGAATGAAAAATCCTTTTCCTGAGGGCCCAATTCCCTGCATTCTTGTGCAGGCTAATGCACCATAAACTAGTACATTAATAACTAGTAAGCTATTTTGAGACCTGGAAAATCTGGGTGATTTTCAGACTAAGGTGACTTACCATTTTTATTTTAACTTTTTCCCCGAGTGTCTGTCTATACCACCTTTCCTCCATCATAAAAATTCAAAGGTGGCTTGCTTGATGTTCCTATGTGATTTGACATCCACACTGAGCACTGTTTAGCTTCAGCAAGGGGACTGCGTCATGTCTCCAGCTTTTTCAGAGCTATGACAGCATGTCACCTAACATTTTATCAGTGATCCTACAACAGCACGCCACTAGTATCAGCATCCCTATAGATGAGAAGAATAATTGGATCCTGGAAATGGAAGGGATCACAAGCGCTACCTAATCCAACTCCCTGCCATGCTGAAAGATACACATAAAGCATTCCTGAAAGAAGAAGAAAACAGTAACCAAGGAGTTTGCTATTACTGTAAGGATCTCCAGACGTCTTCTATCCCAGAAGAACACATTGGTTGGATTGCTGTGAGTTTTCTGGGCTGTATGGCTATGTTCCAGAAGCATTCTCTCCTGATGTTTCACCCACATCTATGTCAGGCATTCTCAGAGGTTGTGAGGTATATTAGAAACTAGGCAAGGGAGGTTTGTATACATGTGGAAGGTCCAAGGTGGGAAAAAGAACTCTTGTCTGTTCGAGGCAAGTGTGAATATTGTAATTAATCACCTTGATTAGCATTTGATGGCCTTGCAGCTTCAAGGCCTGACTGATTTCTCCCTGGGGGAATACTTTGTTGGGAGGTGTTAGCTGGCCCTGATACAACTACACCTGAACTCTGCAAGTGCAGCATTTTTCCGAATGAAGCAAAGAGTGTTTGAGGACCGGGACATCCGTAAGGATACCAAGGTGCTTGTCTATAAAGCCATCGTCCTCCCAACCCTGCTATATGCCTGCAAAACTTGAACTGTCTACAGATGTCACACTCAGCTCCTGGAACGATTCCATCAGTGCTGCCTCCGAAAAATCCTGCACATCTCTTGGGAAGACAGGTGGACAAATGTCAGCATGCTGGAAGAAGCAAAGACCACCAGCATTGAAGTGATGCTCCTCCGGCATCAACTCTGCTGGACTGGCCACGTTGTCTGAATGCCCGATCACCGTCTCCAAAGCAATTACTCTACTTCAAACTCAAGAACGGGAAACGAAATGTTGGTGGGCAGGAAAAGAGATTTAGAGATGGGCTTAAAGCCAACCTCAAAAACTGTGGCATAGTCACTGAGAGCTGGCCCTTGAGTGCTCTAACTGGAGGTCAGCTGTGACCAGCAGTGCTGCAGAATTCAAAGAGGCACGAATGGAGGGCGAAAGGGAGAAACGTGCGAAGAGGAAAGCACATCATGCCAACCCTGACTGGGACCGTCTTCCATCTGGAAACCAATGTCCTCACTGCGGGAGAATGTGCGGATCAAGAATAGGGCTCCACAGACCCACCGCCAAGACACCACATCTGGAGGGCAATCAACTTTGAGCTATGAGGGATAGCCTAAGTAAAGTAAATTAGAAGTAAGATTGTTTCCTGTCTGGAATTCTCCTTTTTTCTGAGTGCTGTTCTTTATTTACTCTCCTGATTTTAGAGTTTTTTTTTAATACTGGTAGCCAGATTTTGTTCATTTTCATGGTTTCTTCCTTTCTGTTGAAATTGTCCACATGCTTGTGGATTTCAATGGCTTCTCTGTGTAGTCTGACATGGTGGTTGTTAGAGTGGCCCAGCATTTCTGTGTTCTCAAATAATATGCTGTGTCCAGGTTGGTTCGTCATATACTCTGCTATGGCTGACTTATCTGGTTGAGTTAGTCTGCATTGCCTTTCATGTTCCTTGATTTGTGTTTGGGTAATGCTGCGTTTGGTGGTCTCTATGTAGACTCGTCCACAGCTTCACTGTATACGGTAGACTCCTGCAGCAGTGAGAGGATCCCTCTTGTCCTTTGCTGAATGTAGCATGTGGGTGAAACGTCAGGAGAGAATGCTTCTGGAACATGGCCATAATAATAATAATAATAATCATCATCATCATCATCATCGTATTGTCGAAGGTTTTCATGGGCGAAAAAGTGTGAATGTTTCAACTGCCCACCTTGATTAGCATTTGATGGCCTGGCAGTGCCTGGGGCAATCTTTTATTGAGAGGTGATTAGATGTCCCAGATTGTTTCCTCTCTGTTGTTTTGCTGTTGTAATTTTAATCTAATCACCTCTCAACAAAAGATTGCCCAGGCACTGCCAAGCCATCAAATGCTAATCAAGGTGGGCAGTTGAAACATTCACACCTAGCTCCAGCAGACAAGAGTACTTTGTCCCACCCTGGTCATTCCACAGATATATAAACCCTTTTTCCTAGCTCCAACAGACCTCACTACCTCTGAGGATGCTTGCCATAGATGCAGGCGAAATGTCAGGAGAGAATGGCTCTAGAACATGGCCATATAGCCCTAAAAACCTACAACAACCCAATAATAATAATAATAATAATAATAATAATAATAATAATAATAATAATAATAATAATAATCTTTATTTGTACCCTGCCACCATCTCCCCAGCGGGGACTCGTGTCGGCTTACCCAACAACACGGCCAAGCCCAACAACACAGGCCATACAGCCTGGAAAACTCACAACTACCCAGTGATTCCAGCCATGAATCAAAATTACAATTGATTGGTTAACTATAACTGTAGTTTTTCAAAAGGTCTCATACTTCATACAAATGTGCTTTGTACATTTGTATGTGAAATACAAAGATAACGCTGAAGATCAACGCATTGCCTGCCTGTAACTGTGGTTCTTTTATTGGTTATCTGTGTTCTCACGCAAATGGGCAAAACCCATTTATGTAGAAACTACGACATGAAACGACAACTTCCCAAGAGGGACAGCTTCTGCAATTAAGCCAGCTTAGGTTCGTTACAGATATACCTAAAATTGGAACTATTAGAATAACCACTGCTAAAATGAGTACAGCGGATTGTAAAACAGACACATAAAAGTGTATGTGCATGCGCATACACACACACACTTATCCTTATTATCTCCTTTCTTTCAGTGGGCTACGAATTAACTAAATCCAAAATTCATATTGAACTGCAACCATAGCAGCCTCATAAAGCAGAACTACATATGTCAATGTACCATCCTGGAAGAAAATCTGGAAACCTAGTTTCCATGCTTTGAATTATGCTAACAAGACATATTTGCTGCTCAATGAGCCGGAGTTTTCAAAGAAATTAGACTTTTAGCCAGGAAAAGGAATGACAGAAGAGAACAGAGGAAGGGCAAATATTTTTCTATGCATGAGGGCTATAAACCTTTTTTAAAAAATCATAAAGTTCAGATTCTCGGAGCTTCTGCATTCCTTCAAATGGCAGGCTCACAGGTGGGCAGAATACATTATGGTCTTGCCGCTGAGAGATCGCTTTTATCTAGTTTTTGACACTCGAGTGAACATTACTTTCTAAACTCAAAACAGGGTGCCACTGCAAGGGTGAGGATCAGACCCTGGGAAG